TGTAGGACATCTGTCCAGGATCTTCTGGCTTTCATCGTTTCCATTGAGAAGTCAGGTGTAATTCAGATAGGTCTGCCTTTGTATGTTACTTGGCCTTTTTCTTTAGCTGCTCTTAATATTTTCTCTTTACTCTGTAGGTTTGATGTTTTGATTATTATATGGCGAGGTGACTTCTTTTTCTGGTCCAGCCTATTTGGTGTTCTGTAAGATTCTTGTATTTTCATAGGCATATCTTTCTTTAGGTTAGGGAAGTTTTCTTCTATGATTTTGTTGAATATGTTTTCTGTACCTTTAAGTTGAATTTCTTCACCTTCTTCTATACCTATTATTCTCAGGTTTGGCTTCTTCACGGTGTCCCATATTTCCTGGATATTTTGTGTTAAAGATTTGTTGGTTTTGAGATTTTCTTTGGTTGATGACTCTATATCCTCTAATGAGTCTTCAACACCTGAGATTCTCTCTTCTATCTCTTGTATTCTATTGGTGATACTTGCATCTGTAGTTCCTGATCGTTTACCCAGCTTTTCTATTTCCAGCATCCCTTCATTCTGTGTTTTCTTTATCGTTTCTATTTCAGCTTTCAATCTTTCAACTGTTTGAGTTGTTTCCTTAATTTTTTTGGTTGTTTTTTCTTGGTGCTCTTTAGATTCTTTGAGAGATTTATTTCTTGACTTTTTCCCCCAATTTCATGGATTTGTTTGTTTTTTCTTCTATTTCTTTAAGGGATTTCCTCCCTTAAGGGTCTCCATCATCTTCATGAAATAATTTTTAAGGTCTGTCTCCTCTTCTTCGTCTATGTATTGCTTTTCGGGTCTTGCTGGTGTTGGATCCCTAGATTCTGGTGGGGTCATGTTGGTGTTTCTATTGCTGAGTGAGCTCTTATTCTGTCTTCTTCCCATCTCTTCTTCCAGTGGGTGCTGGTGGGGTCTTTCTGTCTCCACTGGTCTCCTTCCTTCCTGAAGCTGAAGCTGGGGCTGCTGACACGGAGTTTGGGGCATGTAAAGGCTGATGTCTTTCCTGAAGCTGGACTCGCTGGGGTTGGGGTCTTGGAAGGGCTGATGTCTTTCCTGTGTGGGTGGGTCTTCTGGATGCCTGGAGCGGCCCAGGAAGATCCAGGGGATGGGTGTTGGGCGGGCGGTCTCCACCGGAGACCCAATCTCACCTGAAGCTGGACTCGCTGAGGTCGGGGTCTTGGAAGGGCTGATGTCTTTCCTGTGTGGGTGGGTCTTCTGGACGCCAGGAGCGGCTGGAAGATCAACGGGATGGGTATTGGGCAGGCGGTCCCCGCCGGAGACCCAATCTCACCTGAAGCTGGACTCGCTGGGGTTGGGGACTTGGAAGGGCTGATGTCTTTCCTGTGTGGGTGGGTCTTTTGGATCCCAGTTGCCTTTTCTTAGACCCTACCATGGAAGCACAGCTGCTCCCTAGGAGGCTTGCTGGCTGGCATCAGTCTGTCTTTACCATTCTGGTCTCATTGAGCTCTTCTGGATTTCATAGTTGTTCAGTACTCTGACTAATAACTCCAGTTCCCCCTGTGTAGATCGCACTCTGTGGACCAGGAAGCAGCCCCTCCTGATCTTGACCCTCTAGCAGACCCTCTCAGTACTGGGAGTAAAGTCAAGTTTCTGTCCTGCCCATCCTTGATGCCCTGTCCAGGCTTTCTTTGAACCATCCCTTCTTGGCTCAGAATAGTTCACCTGTAAACCCTCTGAGATGTTCTGTTATCATTTCTTTGTTTTGGGGGTATATATCTCTCTCTCTCTCTTTCTCTCTTTCTCTTTTGCAGGGAAGTGGATTTATTTACAATCTGGCCAAGCCACTGGCAAAAATAACCTGATTTTTTTCCAGTGTCTGTGACAGTCTTACAATTTATACAAATCCATGAGACAAAAAACCCCAGAAGATACAGATTTAGCAGTGAGACAGGTTAATTGGTCCTTTCCTGACAGAGGAGGACTGAGTCCCAGGCTGCCTGTATTGTTTCCAGTCTCAGCGGCCTTTGGGGGCATCTCTTGGTCTGAAATTATTTTGCTTATGGATTTCATCTCCTTCAAGTACCTTTTCAAAGTATGCTGCTCCAAGAGAGACCCCCTTTCCCTTGAGTCACTCTACAGTGGGTATTTTCATTGGGTATAGCATTGTCTCAAAGAGTGAAAAAATAACTCTTAATCCATAAAGCACAAATACGCATACTTAACATATATACATATACATAAATACACATGCCTATGCATGCGTGCACACACATACATCATTAAATTTTCTTGGAAGGGGAAAAGGTCTGAAAAGGCTTCTTAGAGAGGCAATGATGAAGAGTTTGGAAAACATTTCTATGTGGGAACTAAGTGCCTCCCTCCCCCAATTTCCTCCTACTACCATTTGAATCTGCAGTGTTCCCCATAGGTTTGTATTTCAGATGTTTATTCCCAAGCCAGTAATGCAATTTTAGGAGGCTAGGTCCATCTGGTAGTTATAGTCCACTAGAGATGAATCCTGGCTCTGGCACTGCTCTCTGCTTCCTTGTCATCTCTGATATGATTAGTCAATCCCACATTCTTCCACCACCATGATCTGAGATGCTCTTCCATGCCTTCCCCTCTGCAAAAGATGGAAAGCTTCTGAAGTGGTGACCCTAAGTGATACTTTCATCCCAGGTTCTCAGATAGTATGGACATGGTGATGAAAACCTAGCTAACACATGCCCTCCTAGGAGCTTATCGCAAGCAGCAAGTTTTCTGTGTGATTTTGCCTAATTTAGAATTTTCTGTTCCTTCAACTCCTTGGATATAAACTGTGTAAACCCCAGGGATACTATCCATCTATTCTTCACTGTATCTTCAGCATCTCCCCTGAACTGAGCACACAATCATTACTCAGTAGAGTGTTCAGAGACTCCATTACTACTGTGAGCAAGGAACAGAATCAAATTCTAGGAAAACTCTTGGGGCCATCTGGACCTCCTCTCAGATCTTAACTCTCACAAGCTACCAGATTTTCTGGGTCCCTTTGGGCACTGAGATTAACCTAAGTCTTCTATGCGCCACATGGGTGGGAGTTTGTCCTGATTATTCCTGTTTTTCTCTAGCATGCCACTATGAATACCATACAGATATCTGATTCATTAAATTGAAAAGATTTTCAATAAAATGATGACAAGAGGCTAACCATCTTGGCAATTACACAGGACAAAGAACACATTATTGTCTGATTTACTTTAGCAATAAATTGAATTACAATGAGCATCTGCAATTGAAAAAGGATGGGAAGGAAGGAAGCCGGAATGTTAACCGCATTATCCTTCTCTGGAATGTGGGTGTACAGTTTGTTTTCTACTTATGCTGGGTTGATTTAGGAATGCCCTGTACTGAATATTGATTTCAGTTATCAAAACAAACCAGGACTTTGGGTGGCTGTTCTTTTGTTGTTGTTGTTAAGGTTGTCCACGATACTTCAATATTAGACTAACATATACGGGTATAGTTCAAGTTCACTGATATAGGACCAGTTAATATGAAGGTGTGATTATGCTTCACCCAATTCCATCACACACATACTTCTGATTCACACAAAGTGTTTGCAACTTAGGTTGCAATAGTTTCTGTGACTCCCCAAAGTTTAAAAGCACTTATTCCAGGACCAAGGAGATGGCTCAGTAGGTTACATGCTTGCGGTGCAAGCGTAAGGATATGAGTTAGGAGCCACAGCATCCATATAAAAGTTGAGTATGATGGTGTCCATCTGTAACCCCAGTACTGAAGTTGGGAGAGGGGAGAAAGGCAGAGCTGGGGAGCACACTGGCCAGCAGTCTCGCCTAAATGCCATTCTCCAAGTTCAGTAGGTGACTATCTCAAAATACAAAGTAGAGTGTGATAGAGGAAAACAATTCTGATGTCTGGCCATCACACATACATGTAAGGATGAGTGTGTCGCACATGTGTAAACACACTCACATATACCCCTCATGCACAAATACACATATATCCATCAATTATTTCTTCCATAAGACACCTCATCAATGAAAATAATGCAAAACAAATAGGCAACACAACCCATGCCAACTTAAGCATTTTCCCAGGCCTCATCAGTGAGAGAGAGCTGAAATATCACCCCAAACCCAGGCTATATGCTTCCTTGCTTTCTTTATTCTCACAAGGAGTTGTCATGACTGACTTCCTATATACTCCACCTTTCTCTTGTCCTGAAGGACTTCTAGACTCTTTGAAGACTGCCTTCTCCCTTGAGTGCCATATGAACCAATGCAACAAGTTCCTAATTTAGCATCCTTGAAGGTTATTTTATTTACACTTCAAGAATGCATTCAAACACTAGAACTTTTGGCAGATCTGTCATCATCAGCAACAACACAGCAGCAACAAAAGTCCTAAGTCAGTTCAACACCAGACCCAACACAATTACAGCGTCCACCATGACAGCTGACAATATCTCAAAGGAACATAAACGATCCAGTATTTGCAAACAAATCATTTCCATCTTTGAGCTACCTTGATCTTGATCTCTTATGTATCCATACAGTGACAATATTCATGACATTCTAACAATGTGCACACCCTTATGTAATCAAGGTAATTTGGATTTATCCATCCAAATTTGATGTCTTACCCAAGAATAAAGGGTTTATATTCAAATGGTTTGAAAGCCTCTTGGGAGCTTGAAGTGGTCTTTACGCCTAAGGCACCATGACTCAAATATACCAAACCTGTGAGCCACACGTGGCCAAGGATAGCTATGAATGTGGTCCAATGAAAACAATGAACGTACACAAATACTATGAGTTTTTTTTGGTGATTTTCTTCTTATTGCTCAACTATGTATTTCTTGAGTGTGAACCTGGTAGGTGATAATATGGCATTTTGATGTCAGAAGCTTGGGTTCACTACTTTAGGACTTTTGCTTAGAACAAACTGGAGAAAATGGTTTTGCAAAAGATTGTCATGGATGCTCGAAGTCCTAAAAATAAATCAAGAAGGTTGCTCGCTTACCTCCTCCAGGGCCCATAAAGAATCCACCACAGGCTTGATCTTCTTCTGGTTGTACAGCCCGATGAGCTTCTCCACCACTCCCCGGATGAGGCCTGAGCGGCCCTGTTTGAAGAGCAGGTTGAGGAGTGAGAATCCTGCGATGACTTTGTTTTCTTCATATAGCTTGATGGGGTTCACTTTCTCCACCTGCCACCACTGCAATTAGAGAAGATTCTAGGTTACGAAGTCTGAAGACTGGGTTACAATGGGCAGCATTGACTATGTCATGGGCTATCATCTACTCCAAGGAAGCCAGGTTTGAAGCTGGGTGGATTCTGGTGGACGAGCAAGCAGTCTTGGTGATTTATCTTTTAAGCATCTATCTCTGGAACCATAGCAGTTGGTGCAGAGGATATACTAGACAGCAATGCTGTGAGAGGGCGCTAGCTTGGGAAGAGAGAGAAAGAAGACTGGGCATTCCTTATTCCAAAATCTCCACTCTAAAAATGCTTCAAAAGCCGTATCTGTTTGATTGCTAACATAATACCACAAAGGGACACTAAAAATACTGTCTACCCTGGGAATGTAGCTCAGTTGGGACACTGTTTGCCTGGTACATACAAAACTCTGGGTTCAAATTCTAGAAAAACAGAGTAAGCATTGTGAGGATGGATACTTGTAATCCCAGAATTTTGGAAGCAGAGGCAGGAGGATCAGAAATCCAAGTCACCTTTAGCTAAATAGTAAGTTTCAGAATAGTCTAGGCTATAACAGAACCTGTCTTAATACGCGCGCGCGCACGCGCGCGCACACACACACACACACACACACACACACACACACACACACACCAAAACCTATATCTTATGACTTACCTGTAAATATTCCAAAATCTGGAAAAAAAAGTCTTCCCTCCCCCCCAATCAATCAAATTCAGAAGCTCTTCTCACCCCATTCATTTGGATTAGGTTTCGCAGTCTATTCAAGGCCACAAATTATTAAAATGGTAAGTGTGTGATTAGGGTCAAAGAATCTGGAGTAGATCCTAGTTGTCTACCTCACTCTCCATTATTCTTTGCACTTCACTCTTCTCAGCTGACTTGAACGAGAGGGTACATGACATAGGGAAGTTTACAGAGAAACAAAGTATTGAGGACATGGTAGAGGTGACCACCACGAATGCAAGAATATCTTTTAAATTGAGTCGGGGAGGGATAATGACAAGGCTACTGGAAAGGTAGACAGGAAGGGTAAGTTAAGAAGAAAGCACAGCACAGATTGATAAATCTAAGGACTGTGTAAATGGCTCTTGTGTGGGTTCAGCCTTTGATATGTGACAAGGGTTTTATGGTCAAATGTACTGCTCTTCTTGAGCTGTCTCATCCCTGGCTCTGCTAAATGTGATTCGGTGAAGAGTTCCATGCATGTGGCTGTGGGTGTAGCTCAGTTTGTAGACTGTCTGCCTAACATGCATGAACCCTAGTTTTGTACTCCAGCACCACATAAAACTAGATGTGGTAGCACCTACCTAACGTCTTCCTGTTTGTTTGCAAACTGTCTTCCCTTACTCTTGCTCTCCTAGCATGTGCATCCCCAAAATAAAAATTCAAAACCTTGGGCCCCAGAATTAAGCTTGCTACCTACACATCTGTAGGACCTAGTGAATGTTTGTGTAATGCACGCCAGCTGATGCCACAGCCAATGCACAGCTGTGACAAATAGCTCTAGAGATGGCTCAGAGGGGAGAGGTGCTTGCCATAAGGACTGACAACATGAATTTGATCCTTGGAACCTACATGGTGAAGGTAGAGAACTGACTTCTGTAAGTTGTCTTCTGACCTCTTCATGCATGCCATGCCAGATGTACACCCATACACACACGCACATATGCATGCACAATATAAACACGTATAATTAAAACCTTCTTTTAAATTTCTAGCGTGGAGTGTCACTTGCTAGTTGTGTTACTAGGCAACTCACCTAAACTCTCTGTGTTCAGTTTCCTTACCATAACTTGGTCATAGAAAGTAAATGTGCTCATATAAGATCTATGCTTTTGCAGTAGTATGACTATATCACATATTCCATATGTATAAATAAATTTAATTGTCCTTTTAATCTGAAAGCCATGTTTTAGATTTACTGAGCAAGAGCTTGGAATTTGGCTGCTCCCTAAGTGTTAACTTCATCTGTAAGAATCACCCTTGTAATGGCCCGAGACCGAATGGCAAGTCTGACAAAGTATAAAGAATTCACTCTGCTGAAATCTTGAGATGGAACATAATTAAGATAGCAGAGTGAGAACTCTCTATATGATTCTAAATGTGACCTTCTTGATTGCATAGGATTTTTTTTTCCTGGAGAAAAGCCATCAATGCACTTCTCAGAAAACCTTTTCTTCAATTTACTTCTAACCAATCAGCCTGCGTCGACCTGGGCCTCTGGGCTTTTATTCATGTCCTTCAGCTCCAGAGCATAAAGGTACTCATCTGAGGAAGAGGAAACCGAGTCTCCATCCTAGCTGTGCTGTTATAAATAGCTTCCCTAGCATGGTCACACTGTAATTATTTCATTAGTACTGTGTGTTGGTATTGGGCATTAAGGGTGAGAAAAGGGGAAACATTTCTTACAGTTGTATGCAATTTGGGACCAGCACGATTCCTCAGAGCAGTCTTTCAGCGTCATGCAAATTGTATCCACAGCAACAACACAGCTGTGAGTGGTACACAACCTGTCTCCAGGGACAGGCAGTAGATAGCATCCTTCAGGAGGCTCTATCCTTGTTCCTACAGGCACTAAAGTTCAAATGATTCCTGACCTTCACTTTTATTAAAGTCCCATGTACAAACAATGCAAAAAAGAGTCCTTTAAATTCTGATCTCACGTACAGAAGGAATACTGTCATTCCCCAATTCAGCAGATGTTTGAGGGTAAAATTTGGGCAGTCAGTAGAAATATTCCTGGCATGTTTAATACTGATTGTCAACTTGACAGCTTCCAAAATTGCCTTGGAGTCAAATCTCTGGGTAAGTTTGTGGGGGAATTTCTAGACTGGGCTAACTAAGATGAGAAAACCCTTACAAAATGTGACCAACTCAACTCCATTGTGATATATGGAAAGTGAATTCTAATGTCCATTCCCTGGCTCTGTCAACACCCTATCCACCATGCCTCTACCTCATGCTGCCTCCTTCCAGAATCTCTTTGAGGTTGGACAGGCATTCTTTATTAGTGGGTATATCTCCTTAATAGAATGTAGGAGCCACGAGGGTCCCGAACACTTCTGTCCCATCCACTATGATGCCTTGATATCTCGGAATTCTACACACATTAGAGGCTTAGGAAATGCCTGTGTAGTGATGCTCATTGCTATTAAATATGCTCCTCTGCAAAAAACAGCTACCATTTTCATCAGGTTTGCTGACATTCCCTCAGAGGAGAGAGTAGAGAGGATCATTGGATCATCACTTGAAATTGCACATTACACGCCATTTGTAATGCGATTTTGTCCTAATTGCATGTGGTCTAGTCATCTCAGATGGTAACAGACAAACATGATCTTGGGAAGGTTAAAGGAAGGAGCACCATTTAGGTGGCTATGGGGAAGCCATCCTCTAGATGATTATGAACTTCCCAGTGCAGCTGCTTTAGGGTCACCTACACTCCTAACATTAACTACTCACCCACGCCCCATTTGTAAGGACAATAATAATAATCTTAGTGGTTCCTCTGGGTGAACTCTAGTGGAATCACTCTTTGGTTTGTTGTCAGAACCTTATGTGGAGGTGTCATTTACATCTCCCCAGGGAAGAGATTCTTGCAACACTCATCTGGTAAATCGGCTGCACCAGAGACTGGGAGCATGAGGACAGAAGATGAACACTTGTGAGAAATAGCAGTCCTTTGCTCTAGTGGGCGGGGTAACAAAAGCACAACCCCAAATCAGTTTAATTCTAACACCAATAGATAGCTCTGTGCAGGTGCAGCGAGGAAGAGTGCCCCTCAATGTCAGACAAAGTCATCACACACTCAGAAATTATTCAAATTAGGAGTTTCCCATTCCCATCTCCATCAGGGTAGGATGGGGACACAGAAATCTACTGTGCCCCCAGAAACCTGGCCAGAAAATGGTCAAAATAAAAGGTTGTCTACTATATGGAACAATGACAGTGCAGTAACTCTAAGTTCACTTGTAACAGATAGTTGAACCAATCTCTACTGAAATAAAAAAGAAGCTTTTCAAAATTTAGTGACACTACCAACTCCTCAAGTCCTCATCCTGTCTGTATGCAGTTAGCAGGGAATGGATATGGAATTTATTATAAATGCACAATGTAGATGACAGGCTAGCAATTGACCAATTGACCAGGTCTTTTTGTTTTTCTTTTTTTGTTTCTGCTTTTCCTGAGACAGGGTTTCTCTGTGTAGCCATGGCTGTCATAGAACTTACTCTGCAGATCAGGTTGACCTCAAACTCAGAGGATCCACCTGCCTCTGCCACCCAAGTGCTAGGATTAAAGATATGTGCTACCACTGCCTGGTGACCAAGGTTTTAAGATGGAGCTTACAACATGCAAATGAATGTTAACCACCAGCTCACAGACAGGCACAGATACTTACTGACTTTGCAAAACTAAAGAAACTCTTGGTCTCTCCAGTTACCATGTTGGATGAACCTGCAAACAAAAGATTCCCAAGTCAAGTAATTGTTAATTAAAATCAAGATATCTTCTTATGGAAGAAGAGTGGCAGGTGTTTCATTTGTATACAAGTGGCAACAGCTTATAAAAGCATGCTTCAGTCTTGGAAAAAGTAGACGTGTTGGGGTGGGGCACAAAATGGAACATTTGGCTAGGTGTCATCAACTCTTCGAGGATGGGAGATTTCTCATGGTGGTTATTTCATTCCTTTGGAAAACCAGGCATGTAGCAAAAGGTGATTCATTAGTTCAATGTTTTAATAATATGAAACATTTTTGTTCTGTTTATTGAAAATAAGTAGTGAACTTCTGTAGGAAGGCAGTACATAGACCCAAATTTGATTTCCTAGCAAGTGAGGGGCTTAGGACTCTGACATGGGCTGGGTACTGAAGGGTAGGAGGAAAACTTGGATGGATATAAAAAAAATGAGATACAGGAAATATGGAAGAGATAATAGTAATTTCATAGGTTCAAGGAATGTGTGACTATTTGTCAGTTCCAAAAGGTTCTAGGCAGAGAGTCTAAGAAACAAAACAAAACCTAAATTTTTAGATAAAAGAATACTGGAAATCGTGTGATGACAACTGGGCCAAGTGACACTCAGATACAAGATAGAGGGAAAGATAAGTTAAGATGCTCAGAGGGAAATGACCCCTTTGTAGGGTTCCCAGTGGGGATGGGGTGGGGAGAAGAAATTCTTGACAATAGAGAGAACATCCTGGTGCACTGGCCTCTCTCAACAGACTTTCCCCATTTGGAAGCATAATTTTTCTTAGAGAACAGTCGTTTACTTGAAAAAAATTCAATATTTTAGAATTAACCATTTGGTCTGGCAAAACTCTTTCCCAATCAGTTAACCATTCCTTTATCTTTGATGGGGTGATGAGTCCCAGGGATCGTAGTGTCAGGCTTCCATTAAATAGTAACCAAGTAATCAATGTAATGACTCAGATAATTGCGAGATAATCAAGTTGAAGTTCACCCAAATGACATGATGGAATTGAGGTAAAAATATAACTCCTGGCTAATGAGAAGGAAGGATGAATAGATTGTCCATCTGCCTTCTGTTAGTCACATCCGATGTTCTTATAATGGTATTGACCCTTGTAGGTTTTTCCATCAATAATATTAATCAATTATTTACTTCTTGGGAAATAAATGGTCAGAATAGAAATGACCAGAACATGTCAGCAAAAGAGTGTTGCTCATCTGTTGGTGAGCTCAATTCTTTTGTAATAATGATCTGATGATAGGATATTTATAACCCTCAAATATCTCTTTTATAAAGAGAATTTCTTCTTTTTTCCTTCTAAAATTCTCAAATTTAAGGTTCAATAACTGTTGCAAGAACAGGAAACAGGTTTTAGGAATCTCAAACATCAGATACTCTAATATTCTGATTTGGAAGATGGACTTTGGCTTTCTATACACCTTTTAGAATTTGTGGAGACCAATGTTTAAATTAATATGTGTGTGTGTGTGTGTGTGTGTGTGAAGACAAGAAGGTCAGGCACTAAAGTTTCATTTTGATGGAAAGAAAATTTGCTTCTAATAACATTACTGTACACTCAAGAACATAGTAAATATGGCCAGGCATGATGGTCACACTTGTAACCTTATCACTGAAGAGACTGAGGCAGTGGTATTGTTAGTACAAGGCCAGCCAGGATTATTCAAACAAAACAAAACATTTAAAAATGGCAGTATAGGGGATAGGGCAGTAGGTAAGTAAGTTAGTTTTATAATTTATGACAACAGTATCAATATAATAAATATACTTTAAAAACACACTCAAAAGTTTGTCTTTTACCTAGTATATTAACACCTTTCACCTTGAAGGTAAGCATAGTGGGGTGCTTTCTGATGCTTTTCATCTTAGCCCATTGTGCATGCACTCACCATATAAAATGTAGGTCCCCAGAGGCTTGAGGAGACTGAGCCCCTTGCCGGTGTTTTCCCCACACAGGCAGTCCAAAACAATGTCCACACCTTCAGCAGAGATCCTGCATAGAAAGAGACCAGGCAAAATGGTGTAACTTGTCAGGGACCAAACTCTTGAGTCTTTCCTCCCCATGTCACATCCTCTGGTGGTCTGGAATACAAAGAGTGAGTACTCTAGGACCATCTGTCTAACTAGTATCATCCCTGCCTTCCTGAAGATACCTTCAATAAGTCCTCTGTAAGATGAAAATACCTCAAGTTAAATTTTTGTTAAATTCAGCTAATCTCTCAGTCAACAATTATTTTTAAAGGAATATGGCTGACAAGTAGGGTGCTATCCAAGGTACTGAAATGAGACAGAAAACCAACATAATCCCTGACTTTATGGGACTGCTGGTCCAGCCAGGAGGTTTTCATATAGCTGTTCATAACCTTTCACTTAGGTTACCCACCAGCTTCCCCTTCCATACACACCCCATACCTACTTAAGTTTTTCACCTCTAGGATTCTCCCTCTCTGTTTTCATGTCACTTATATTCTGCTATCCCTTCTCCTTTAAGCCACCATTCAAATGGCTCCTTTCTAATTTACTGTTAGTTCAAGTTAAAGGTTTGATGCTAGGGTCCACACATGGAAGGACATGGTAGTCATTTTTCTGTGCCTGTGTTACCTCACTTAGTCTGTTTTATTTCTAGTTTCAGCCATTTACCTATTCATTTCATAACTCCCTTTTCAAAAACCAGATAGAGATAACATAAAAGAAAATCATGAACTGGCAAGATCCTCTGAACAGATGGGGAAGACGGCGAGGGGTGGGGGGGAGTGGGAGCTGGGAAGAAGGGGGGAGGGGAAGAGAGAGTAGGTCATGGGGGAACAGGAAGGTTGACTGGGGGGGTAGAATAGGGGGAAGAGGGAATCATAGGTTAGAAGACAGATCAGGCACCAGTGTGACCTCTAGTGATCTAAAGGGATGACACCAATTGGCAAGCTAAGCAATAGTGGAGAGACCACCTCGAATGCCCATTCCTGATAATGAACTTGATGTCTATAACCATCCGGGAGCCTTCCTCCAGTGACTGATGTAAGCAGAGGCAAACACCCACAGTTACACACTGAACTGAACCCAAGGAACCCAGTGACAGAGATAGAGGAGCGATGAGCAAATTGGCAAAGAATGGGCTGGCAAAACCAGCAGAGACAGCTGATCTGAACAGGGGAGAGCTCTTGGACCCCAGACCGACAGCTGGGAGGCCAGCATGGGACTGATCCGGACCACCGAATGTGAGTGTCAGTGAGGAGGCCTGGGCAACCTATGGGGCCCTGAGCAGTGGATCAGTGTTTATCCCTGGAATGCAAACAGACATCGTGTGTCCATAGCACAAAGAGGGATGCTCTCTCAGCCTGGACTCTTAGGGGAGTGCCTGGACCCTACCCTGGGTGAAATGACAGACTCTAGATATTCCCTATGTGGAAGGAATTGGGAATAGGGTGGGAGGCTGGGGGGTATGGGAGGTGCGGGAGGAGGGGAGGGAGAGGGAACTGGGATTGACATGTAAAACAAGCTATTTAGAATTAAATAAAAAAAAGAAAATCATGAACTAATCTTCCCAAAGAACATGGCTACAGATTTCACAATAAAATACTTATAAACCAGTCCACAAACACATCAAAGAGATCATGCATCATGACCAAGTTGGCTTTATCCCAGAAATGCAAGAACACACACAAATAAATAATTGTAACTCATCCCAGAAATAACCCCAAGGATCATATCAGTAGATGTAGAAAATACCTTTGGTAAACTCCAACTTAAAAATTCTAGAAAATAGGGATGACAGAAATATAACTTAATATAATAAAGGTGATCTATGACAATTCTATTGCCAGTATCATGATAAATGGAGAAAAAACTCAAAACATTCTAAGATTAAGACTAAGTTAAGAGTGTATACAGTTCACACTCTATTTTAGTATGTTGAAGATGTAACTAGAGCAATATGACAAGAGAAAAAAATAAGAAAGGAAGAAGTCAAAGTATCCTTACTTGCAGATGGTATGATTTTATACATAGGAAATCCCAAAGGCTCCACCAGAAAACTCTTAGCCCTTAGAAACACTTTCAGCAAAGTGACAGGGCACAAAGTCAACATCTAAAATCAGTGGCCTTTCTATACATTGATGAAGATAATGAAAAGGAAATTAGGTAAACAATCTCATTCAAAACAGCCTCCAAAATAACTTGCAGCAAATGTAGCCAAGTAAATGAAGGGCCTCCACAATTAAAAGTTTAAAATACCAAGGAAAGAAATGGAGAAGACAAAAGAAGATGGAGAGGCTATCCACACTCATGGATCAGAAACAGAGAGAGTTTAGCATGATACTGGCAACCTACAAATTCAGTGCAATCCCAATCAACATCTCAATGAAATTTCTAAAAGAAACAACAACAACAAAAACAGTCTTAAAACTTGGGAGCATGAGGGTAGGGGAGAGGGAGTTAGAAGAAAGAGAAGGAGAGAAGAGGAGGGGGTAGGAGGACATGAGAGAGCAGGAAGATCGAGTCAGGGGAAGAACAGAGGAGAGCAAGAAAAGAGATCCCATGATAGTTGAGCCCTTATAGGTTTAAAGAGAAATCTAGCACTAAGGTAATGTCCGTAGATCTACAAGGTTGACCCCAACTAACAATCTAAGCAATAGTAGAGAGGATACCTTAAATGCCATTCTCCAATAATGAGATTGATTACTACCTTATATACTATCCTAGAGCCTTCATCCAGTAGCTGATGGAAGCAGAAGCAGACATCCACAGCTAAACACTGAGCTGAACTCTAGAATCCAGTTGCAGAGAGGGAGGAGTGATGAGCAAAGGTGTCAAGACCAGGCTGTTTCTGTGGGTTTCACAGAAACAGCTGACCTGAACAAGGGGTTGCTCATGGACCCCAGACTGATAGCTGAGAAACCAGCATAGAACTGTTCCAGACCACCTGAATGAGGATGCCAGTTTAGCAGCCTGGGCAATCTATGGAGCCTCTGGTAGTGGATCAGTATTTATCCCTAGTGCACGAATGGATTTTGGGAGCCCACTTCACATAGAGGGAGACTCTCTCAGCTTAGACACATGGGGAGGGTCTAGGCCCTGCTCCAAATGATATGACAGACTTTGAAGATCCTCCATGGAAGGCCTCACCCTCCTTGAGGAGCAGAAAGGGAATAGGATAGGGAGTCAGTGGGGAACAGGGGAGGAGGGGAGGGAGAGGGAACTGGGATTGACATGTAAAAGAAACTTGTTTCTAATTTAAATTAAAAATAGGGAAAAACTTATATGGAAGCAAAAAGACCCCTGGACAGCTGTAGTATCCATCAGCAAAAGAGAACTATGAGGGAGGCAGTACCACACCTGGTTTCATGTTATATCACTGTAGTAATAAAAACAGCTCTGTACTGGTACAAACACAGACACATAGATCGTATGTTCCTCAGTCCAGCCGTCAAGTCAAGACATAGTCAGGATGGATTGGCTGCTAGCAGCCATGAGAGTGGAGGCTGGATGCCCTTAACCATTCTAAGAGTGTGATTTACTCATGAGCATTTATTATGCCCCAGACTGAGGAATGTCAAGTCAGTCCCAAATGTGCCTCATGCCACCCCTGTGACTCCAGAGTCATTGTTATTCTTACTTGATGAAGGAGGAAATTGGGGGTTAGTCAGATCAAGGGACATCCCAGGGACCCTTCAGAGAGCAGGAGGGATGACTATAGTTAGATCTGCCATATCCAAAGCCAGTTGGGGCTTCCAGAGGCAGAGAAAGTTTTTCAGAATAAGCTGTGGCCATCTCCAGGGTGACCACCATTTCCCCTCTCGTCTTCCTTCAGGGACTGAGCTAAGTCAAGACCTAATCCACTGACCTCCATGCTGGAAGAGATCATAGGCACCTGTGTGTTCAGGGACCTGTTTCTCCCCATAGTTCCCTCTGGGCTCCTTTGTAGCTAAACCACACAAGACAAGACAGGGCTTGTACCTTAGGAGTCAAAGAAGCCACATATTTCCCTCTGGTTGCCACTGCATCTTTTTGAAAGTCAAGATTTATGTGGGGGCTCGGGGAAGGACAGAAACTCAGTAGTGGCAGATGACATCTCTGGGGTCTAGGATGTTGGTACTTGGTCATTTCTGCTCAACTGTTTAAGCAGGTGTGCAGTAGAACCCCATCCTCTGGGGATGACGTAGCTGTTGCCATATTGAATTCAGAGCAGGAATCCATAAAAGATTGGGCTCACTAACCTTCCCTCACAGAAGGAAGAATATTGGTCAGCCCCTTGCCTGAGATTCTAGCTGCTCCCTTCCTTCTGAGACATTGTCTTTGGGATGCTACAGTATTTAGGAAACTGGATATTGACTGGGATGGGAACTCCAGAGTTCCAAATTTTGTGTGTTGTCATGTATGGTGGGGTGGGCTTTTTTGATGATATGGATGTTTGAATAAAATACCATGTTTTGGAAATAATGGCTTACCAAAGTGTCTGTAAGTAAACCCCCTCCTTCTCCCCCCAAATAAATTCTTGGTTTATCAACTAGATATAGGTAGGATTTGTTCCTTTAGTCTTTCACCTATCTTGGTGAATGAGTATTCCTGTATATTGCTCTTCTTGAGGGTAGAGGCACTCCTCCAGGGAAGAGTTTCAAAATTAAAGACTGTTATCATTTCACCCCATCATTGGGGTAAAACAAATGAATACTGTTGAATGGAATCCATCCAAATGAAACTGGGCTCAGTTCTAGTGAAAACATTCCAGGTCCAGATCTATAGATGTGACTCAACCGGCATAACATGGTCTAGCACGCACAAAGCCTTGTCTTTGATCCCTATCACTTGTTTTTACAAAAAAAAAAATTCAGAAGCATTTGTAGGAAGGGCTTGGCCATTGTCATGCTCCTTAGCTGTCCTTCTCATGACATCATCAGGACCACCAGCAGCAAAGACAGTTCTGAGAAGCCCAATGCCCATCCTCATCTCCAATATCCCCATTTCTAGGGGAGTCACACTGTCTGTGTATACACAATTATA